GGTGAATAACTTTCAGCAACACTCATGTTTGGTCATTTTCAGCAAACATTTTCGGTGAATGTTTGGGCTGGCATGGTGAACCGTATGCTCATTGGACCATTTATTCTCCCAAATCGATTGGACGGGATGCAATACCTAGACTTTTCACGCAACATTTTGCCTTCCTTGTTAGAAGATGTGCCATTAAGTGTAAGACAATCAATGTGGTTTCTGCGTCTGCTCGGTAGCGCTTCAGCTGATTTCATTTTCTGTTGGAGCGGTATGATTTCGGGCAGAGACGTACTTAGCCCTTCTCGTCAACTGGAGAGTGAGTACTTTTTCCTTTATTTTTTTTTACTTGGTCGCCCTCGTTTCACTACACATTGCCTTTGTTATTTCAAGGGTAGTTGTTTCTGAAAAGGAAAACCCCAACTTTGCGGACACCCTGTATATTGAAACATATTTGGAGGAAAAAAGGCAGCGGAGCTTCTAGTTTTGGGACTTGGTATTCTCTAACAGACCTTGTCTGCGACAGGTTGGGAAATCTTGAAACTGGAGATACTACAGACCAAAATATGTGAATTGACCTAAACATACCTTTGTCCTAAAGTTGATAGTTTGACGAGATACAGGGTGTCAAAGTTACAACTTTATTTCCTATTTTTTCTTACTGCTTGAGAAGTATTTCAGATTTTGGAATACAACTCGGTTTAGGGAGGTTTTCTAATATGAAAAATAAGAATCCGTTGTTTTTTTTGGCCAAACTTATACTTACTTACTTACAGCACTATTCCGGTAAATAACTTATCATAACTGTTCTGTGCTACTCTGTATGCAACAACTGACCAAAAAATCTTATTTTCTCGTATTTCCACAACAAAAAAGGTTTACTTGTCAGAAGTGTCTAAAGCTAATAGTTTTCGAGATATTTGTTTTTAAAACTTCCAATGCATTATTTGTACCGCAATGATAAAACATTTTTATAACATATTAATCAAGTTGGTTTGGGTAATATCTCAGTAGCGTTGCTATGCTTTCTACAGTTTGTCATAATATTGCTTAAACTTCATGAAGAATTTCAAGTTGACAACGAGTTTGTTAATCTTTAACCGCTAACGTGCGACAGTCGCACAAAACCGCTAACGTGCGGTCTAAGATACCGCTACCGGTTTTTGTTATTTTTTATGAATGGTACAACGTTTTTATTAAAAATATTTATTTGTAAATGCTCAAAAAACAATGTAATTAAGTTTCAGTTAGACTAAGCGATATCATAAATATAAAAAACAACACAAAAATGTTTTTCTGGCAATTTCCAAGTTACTTCCTATCTAACACGCATTCATTGCACATCTTCTTGGAACATTGCAAGCATATGGGTTTCTTGCATGATGCACATCCGTATTGAGTTTTCCTTTTCAACTTTGGTGGACATCTGTAACATGTTGCTCTTTTTTCCAAGCGATCTTCTAGGACTTCACTGCTATGAGCAAAATGGTCAGTGCTCCCACATAAGTTTTCAATTGTCACTCGCAATTCTCTGGGAAGTTTTGAGTTTGCCATTCTAACTCTCAATTGTGGCAAAACCAGACTTCTTGCTAACTTGTTTAGAAAATCTGCCGTTTCCAGTTTTGGAGTATCTTTGTAGCTTGAGTACAAAACATAAGCATTTATTGTACTTACGTCAACAAGCATGAAAAATATTGCCATAGGCCATCTTTGTGTCCTACGACTTGGACTATAGTTTGCAGACTTTTTGTCCAAACTATCCACGCCACCTTTTGTCGAATTGTAATATGCTATTATTTCTGGCTTACCAGTTTCTTGATCAGTTGATTCACAATGATGCACAGATGAAATCAGAATAACTGATTTTGAAGATTTTGGTACAAAAGACAGTAAAGTCATATCATTATTGTATCCGTAGAGGCTGCTGTTGAGTTTTCGATTTTTGTTAGCTTGAAAGCTTGGTGGAATTGCAGCTTGATTCTTTTTTAGCGTACCTACATAGATTAGACCTCTGTTTTGGAGTTCTTGAATCAATTCCACAGAGCTAAACCAATTATCAGCTGTAAAATTTCTATTGGTTTTTCGAATTGGCCCCACTAGCCTGATTACAGACTGTGTTGGGATTTTCAATTTTCTTTCATTTGCAGATAATGTTAGTGAATCTAATCCTTTTCCAGCGTAAATATAGGCATCATAAAGGTAATTATTTCGGGCATCTGTCAGGCACATTATTCTGATTCCATAACGAGCCGGTTTTTTCGGCATATATATTTTAAATTTATAACGGCCCCTGAATGCTACGAGCATTTCATCCACGGTAGCATTAGTACCAATAAAGAAGGCATTATGGGAATTATCTATAAATTTATTGAATATTTTTGATATATGAGGCACAGGATCGCCCTTAATTTGTCTTTCATTTCGTAGAGTTGCATCGTAAAATCTAAGAACAGTAAGTAGGAACTCAAAGCGGCTTTTCGCCATGGTACATTGAAAAACGTCTCTTCCTGTGCCATCTGTGGCAAACAAGGACTCGATGCTCTCATTTCCTGATTTGAAAACTGAGGCATACCTAAGAAAGCCTTCATTTCTATTTCATCGGTAGTGGATAATATCGGACTTGCCTGGTCTTTATACTTCTTTCTTGCATCAATGCTCTTCACATTTGTCCACTGAATTATTTCTACTATCATATCTTCAGAACATAGAAGAAGCCAGATGTCTTCAATCTCCGGTTTAGCGCCAAGCTGTTTAGCTTTTGGTCGTAGTCCAGGTAGAGTGAGTACAATGTTATGTTTTCTGGTCCTTACATTGACTGGAGGCTGGTCTTTATGCCTGAAAAGAAAACAACGATAAAGCACACACCTCAGTATTACCTCCACAAATGTTTTAGTAGTTACAGATTCTGAACTTTCTTACCATTTGAACTTATTTTTACCAATATAAAACCTCTCTCTTTCAACAGAAAAACCTTCGTTGGACCTCAATACGAGAACTCTTGAAGGACCGAAATTTTAAAACTACTCTTTTGAGAAACGAAAAAAGGGCATGGGATGCCTTCAAAAATGTATGTAGCAACTTGCTAGGTAACAAAAAGTCGGACAACCAGAAAGATCTAGTTGCAGAACTTATCCAATCTTATAAGGCCTTAGGTTGCAATATGTCCCTTAAGCTGCATTTTCTTCACTCCCATTTAGAATTCTTCTCTGACAATTTGAGTGCAGTTTCAGACGAGCACAGCGGAGGATTTCACTAGCAAACTGCTCAGATTGAGAAACGCTATACTGGAAAATGTAAACCAAACATGGTGGGGGCTACTACTGAACCATTAAACGTGAAACCGTTCCTGGAGAATACAAGTGAAAAAAAGACAACCAAATAAATTGTTTGATTGTTTGTATATACAATGAAAAGTATATATTCTAAAAAAGTGGATTTATTTTTTTTTAAATTTACAAAATTCATCGCTAGTTCGTTTAAAATTTGGGATTTTCATATTTTATATTCTCCCTTCTTAAAAAACTTGTAGGTGATGGGGAGAAACTGACTGCATATTAGATTTCAGTACAACACAGTAGACGCAAAAAACCGAAAAAATTTCGGAGAGCGACAAAAGTTTTCAGACTGCCAAACCGTGATATTCGTTACATATCTACAATACTTTTTCCAAGTTAATATACGTTGCATCTGTGGTAACATACCTTCAATCGATTCTTGCACAGGTAAACAAAGTGATAATATCGAACAAATAAGTTGGCATCGAAAACACCGGCCCATCAAAAACTATATAAAACATCGAAGGATAAAGTATGGAGCGGGATAAAACAAGTTCGCCTCATCTGTCGATACAAACAGAACTGTTTACCGTGAAAACACGCCGACCGGAGATTCGAAAATTGTTGTCTCTACAGCTTCGAACTTTTGTAATGGAATGGGTGGTGTAAAGGTGCCAGTCGGAATGTCACTTGCGCAGATATGTCCTAGTTTTTTGTGTTTATACACGGTACCCACCGAATCTACCGGGTATTTCAAATTCGATTCTCACGTTTCGAATCTCGGAAACGACAACACATACGGAGTCAGAAATGAAGGCAAATTTGTGTATTTAGAAAACAAAGAAAATGACGTTAGGTTTTGCAATTCATAATATTTTCAGAAAGACAAAAAAAACTAAATTTGCCAGAGCCGTTTTTTCATATTTAGTGAGCCCCGTATCGTATGATACGGTATACCCAAAGGTGCAGTATTAGGATCCATCTTATTTTTTCTATTTGTGAACAGTTTGTTCAAATTTAGTAGCGCGGGTAAAGTCATCGGTGTTGCGGATGATACAGCTATTCTGCAGAGTGGCCCAACGAATAGGTTACACCTCCATTTGTGACTCTCATGGGAAAAATGCTAAGACACGTCAATTTTTAAATTTAGGGGGGCGTCTCTTCATCTATAGTCGTACTAAACAGGGTGGTCCAAAATTAGATATTGCGTACCTCTTTAGATTTTTAAATTAACCCCCATTTTTTAATTTTTAAGTTTTCTATGAAGCTTTCAGTAAGTTCTATATAATAAAGTTTATACATATATTCAGTCATTGTGAATCTGTTTGAGTATACTTATAGTAAACATCGACTAATTCAACTTTAATAATAATCACGCATACCATCAAGAACATTTACCATCAGTCAGTGTCGTCCTATTTCATAGAAAATCTTTGACCTTAATTTCAAATTGTGAAGTTACCTACCTAGTTGTGATAAATATTGAACAATGACTTATACAATTCGGGCAGCAGCGGTGACCGCAGTAGTAGACTCTTCGTTCTCCTGATCAGTCGCCGTGCGGTGTGCGGGTTCGAATCCCGTTCCAAGATAAATTTTTCTCTTGGCTATGGATGTTGTGATTATCCGTAGGTGGTAGATGGTCTCTGACTGTCGAACGCAGAGGTGCCACCCGGTGGATCTCGTAGGCGGAGCCAGAATGTGTGTATGTTGCATGCACACGTGTTCCCTCGCCAGAGTCCGTGTGGCGTCCCCCCCTTTCCCCTGTATCCCCCTATAGCCCCACGGGACCCAATGGGTGTTTAGGCCTTAGGCCTTCGTGGTAGTTGGAGTATGAAAAAAAAATCAAGAAAGGGTAGAAATAACAAAACTATTTACCAAAATGGGAGCATTGCAAGAGCGACTGCCGGTTGTTTAATGCAATACATCATAACAAAAATATAACGAATAACGATCAGTATGGGGCTAAGTTGGTAAGAAAATTTAAAGAAACTAGGTATGTGTCTAATATCCGCCGTAATCGTCATCGAGAAAATCGACCAGTTAGAAAGCCGCAGAAATATCAGTTTTGGAACACGTAGCACTTGACAACACCCAAAACACTCGAGCTGCCTACTTCGGATTCTGATAGAAGGTTGGAGTTTTGAGAATTAATGTCCCAGCGTTTAATCAACAATGCAAATCTGTTATTTAATATTCGTTTCTCGGATGAGTGTACGTTCTATTTACACGATGCAGTAAATAAACATAATTGTCGATACTGGAGTGACTCGAATTCACATTTGTTTTGAGAGGTACACTTGAAAAAATAAATGTGTGGGCCGGCATTTCCGGAAATCATATTACAGGACCTTTATTCCTGGAAGCTTGACGAGCGAGACGTAGTTGGACATGTTAGAAAATACAAAAGAGCCACGAATTACCATAATAATAGAAACTGTTGTTAATTATAATGAAAATTAGATTCATTTCCAACAAGATGATGCGCTGCTAGTGCGGCAGTTTATGGACATCCATTTACCGAATCAGTGGATCGGCAGACGAGATCTCCGGACCTAAGAGTATTTTATTTAGGGGCATTTGTAGCATAATTTTTGTGTGTGAAACCATTCATGCTCCTCGTCAGTGGACTAAGGATGAATGTGCATAAATAACTCAAGACATTCTTGAAAATGTGAGGAATAGATTCAAACATAATCTTTATCGTTACGTTGAGGTGAATATACATCATTTTGAACACATATTACCACATTGACCTACCTCTTTATACTTTAAGTTTAATGTGCGTGTAAATAGACTGTATTTTTTTTTTGTTTTTTCAATACCTGGAGACTTGTTTTTAATTTTGAATTAAATTTTTTTTACTATGGGAACTATATTGATTATTATGTTTACAATATAATTAATTCCTTTTCATCACAATTTCTAGAACTTGATTATAAGCTCAAATAGATTCAACGATTGAAGATGGGTATAAACTTTATTATACAAAAATTACTAAAAACTTCATGCAGAATCTAAGAATTAAAAAAAATGGGGGTTTCCATTTAAAAATCTAAAGTGTAACACAATATCACCCTGTATTGTTTTTCCTAAAATATACCAGGAGAGTCACAAATGGGGGTGCGACATTTTCGTTAGGCCACCCTGTATATTGAAGTAACCAGTGGCATACCAGAACTCAAGAAATTAGTTTCACAACAACCAATATGCTCCATTGATGAAATTCCAGACATGAAAAATAACATCAAAGTCAATAATATACTAAGTGACATATAAATCCGAACACCCAGTTTAAATGGTTTTATTTTAATAAAAGTTGGTGAATGTATTTATCTTACTGTAAATAACAAGTGAAACATTTTTCAGCCTTATCAGTTGGACATTCCGGTTTTTATACTGGTTTTTTTTTTTAATTCACTATCGCTCTAAAAATGAATATTTCAGCCGCAGTAAAGAATCAACGTTGGCGGATTTTGGTTCTTGACATCCTTTACGATCGGTTACGATGCCTAGAGTACGGAGACCTGTACGATTTCGTCAACTTAGTGAGTTTGATAGGGGCCGTATAGTGGGACTTCGGAAAGCTGAACTTTCTTTTCGGGCAATTGCAGTTAGAGTGCAAAGAAGTGTAGACACTGTGGTTAGGTGTTGTCAGGCATGGCTTCGAGAAGGCCGTACGCAAAGAGCAAGGGGCACTGGACGCCGCCGTAGAACAACAGACCGTGAAGATCGCCGCCTAAGATTATTGGCCTTAAGGGACCGTTTCTCCACTACCAGGTCCATTGCAGATGAATGGTTTGCAGAACATGGAAGACCTATCGGCATGCGAAGTGTTTACCGAAGAATGAGAAGTTTTGGCTTGTTTTCATACCGGCCACACTGGGTCCTCCCTTTTACTCGAGAACACCGACGTAATCGCCTTGAGTGGTGCAGACAACGGTCACTCTGGGATCAGGAATGGAACAGTATTGTCTTTAGTGACGAGTCTCGATTTTGTTTAGGCATGCACGATGGTCGTGCCAGGGTTAGAAGGCGACGTGGTTCCAGGTCACCTTTAATCTTCATCAGAGGTAACATGAACGCGCAGCGTTATATCCACGAAGTTCTAGAACCCCATCTTTTACCCTATCTTGACACCCTGGCAGATCCAACTTTCCAACAAGATAATGCCCGACCACATGTTGCAAGAGTCACAATAGACTTCTTTCAACATAATGATGTCACATGTGTGGGATATGATGGGTAGGAGATTGCTCAATTTGCAACGTCCTCCTCAGACTCTAGAAGCACTTCGAGAGTAGTTGGTGGTTGCCGGGAATGAGATACCACAGGAGGACATTGACCACCTGAACAGAAGCATGCCTAGGCGCGTTGGAGAATGCGTAGCACATCAGGGTGCATCCACACATTATTAAAGGTCAAAGGGCTTTAAATCAGTGCAATCATTTTGAAATGTTTGTCATTTACTTATTATGCTTCATTAAGTACTTATACAAAATTTTATTAAAATAAAACCATTTAAACTGGGTGTTCGGATTTATATGTCACTTAGTATATTTTACTTATCACTAACTCTCATACAAATAATACTTTTTCTTTAGTCAGAATCGTCTGGTTATTTTTCCTGACATCCCCGTATTGTTTCGACTAACCAAATTATTAATAACACTATTTGTATTGTTCAGTCATTCATTGCACTTTCAGTTTCAAAAAACACAAGCACAAGTGCAAATTATTTTGTGTATTTTATGTTCGTTGTACATAATACTTTAGGATTCACTTGTACTCTGTGACCTACATATATTTATGTATTAGCTTTGAAACTTTTTCTCCTCTACAAGGTCACATAATTAGATTTTGAACATAATGTTTTATGTTATGAGCCCCATACATTGAAAATTACAGCTTATCACAAGCATATGCATATTAAATTATAGATTGCATTACCAGTTAAAAATTGCTTCTGTTTATGAGAGACGCATTCAAAGGATATTGAGATTATTTCTCCATTTATCGCCTATATCAAGCGTTATTTCAGCACGGCGGAGGTTCTCTACATGACAGATCAGCTGTAGATTGATACTATTTAAGCTGCATCGGCTTAGATAGAATGGATATGAAATGTTTCGCAGCCTGCAACGTGCCACATCGATTTGATGAGATTATTCAGTTTTCACTGTTCTTATTATTATACTAGAATAATACGGAAAATTGAGCATCATGTTGGTCTGTGTTCGATGAGCCTAGACCAACAATCGGAAGACTACTTTTTTGACATATTACCTTTTATAATACCAATCCGTATTATGTACAATTTGATAACATTAAAATCGGAAATAGGGACTGTTTATCTATGTCCAGCTCGTAAAAACTGAACGAATTCTTTGCTAAGGATATTATGAAACATTGCATCTGAAATTTCAAACCCTACTTATTTTCTCTACTTACTCTATTTCGTACGTTTTCTCTATTTTCTCTATCCTCGCCATTTTCTCCATTTTCTCCATTGTCTCCATTTTCTCCATTTTCTACATTTTCTCCGTTTTCTCCATTTATTCATTTTCTCTATTTTTGCTATTTTCTGTATCTTCTGTATTTTCTCTATTTCAGTTGCAGTTCTAATAATACCTCCGTGCAGAATTCAATACAATTTCGTTTCACGAAAGGACGGTGCACGCAGGATGACATGGAATGGGATTTTGAAAATTTTTGAAAACAAAGGAACGACAGCCTGTTTGCTGTTTGGCCTTAATCGTGAATTTGATGTCATTGTCCATTGCTTGTTGTTGAATTAATTAGGAAAATATGGCGTTCGTGGTTGTGCTTCTGACTAGATTCGTACTTACTTGTTGAATGACACTCGGGCAGGAAAAGTTAATAACAATTATGATGATCTGATGCCACACCTATTCCTACAGGCACCCCACAAAGAACCAACTCAGGTCAACTGTTATTCATTTTGTTTATGCATGATATACAAGCTTCATGTCCAGATACGAGTATATTTCAAACGATTTTTGCGGACGACACAGCGTTCAGTACTCATGCTTCTGACCCTACTAGGTAGGCGGATAAATGTTGCTTTTACGCAAATGGGTGACTATTGCAGGTCCAATAGTCTCATACTTAATGCGCAGAAAACGAATTTGGTCATATTTGAGAATAGTGAATTGATATTTGGCGTGAGAAATAATTAAATGGACTACAAGCTGGCTTTTGTAAATCACATTGATCACTTGACAAAAAACTATCAGCTCAATCATTCATCATGTGGCAACTCCGACAGTATCTTAATATCCAACTGTCAAAACTCGATTATTATGGACATGTACAATCCACATCAGTTACTGCATTGTTGTCTGGGGCAGAAGCCACAGAATGAACGAACTCTCTATCAAACCAGAAATGAATTGTTAGAACCATGTTTTTCAAAAATTCAAGGCACCCAATAGGCTTTGTTCCTCAGAGCTCTCCTCCATGATCCCGCCGCGCGATGAGCCTGCTAGACAGACCCGCCTGACTTTAGTCTCCCATCCTAATCCTGTCGAACTTCGTACATACAGGACTGGCCCATACGAGTGCTCTTATGTCAATAGGGTATCGAGGTTGTGGAACAATCAACATGAGGATGCTTGTCCCAGATCTACTAGCCTTAGGGTGGATTTTACCAACGATGTTAAATTAACAGTCCGTTATCCTCCACCTATAGGGTAACATTCCGTCAAATACATCGAATGAGCTTCAACATCCAATCAACAAATTTCAGCAACCAACACCTATGAAATGTTAAAAACAAAATATTGTCAAAGTATGAGATGACAGCTTGTCCTTGAAACATCATCAGCTTATTGAATACTAAGATATTACATATTATTCAGTCAAAATTTCAGGAAGTGTTTGATTGTTTAATAAAATTCATGATTTAATTGCTATTGTTGATTTTTTATATATGTTTATATTATTTTCTTCAGTTGATAGCGATTTTACTGACCTAACATCACCTCCCGTGTCTTTTTTTTCCTATAAACCCCTTGCAGATAGCCATTAAACACCTACTTGATAACAGACTCTACCAAAAATTTCATAGATCATTTAAAAAATCCCCAACGAGTGACGCATGTGTAAGATCCGTCAACCCTTGGTCCCAGTCACAAAACATATACACTGAAGAAGGTTTAATTCCAAGCTATTCAATGACAACAGGGTGACTTGTGTGGTTGTCAGCGGCCATTTTTTGAGGGTGCGACATGGTTGCCATTTTGTGCATTAATATCCCGTTTCACCCCCCTGGTCCCAGAGGAGTACGCTCCGCCAACTGTTGACTGTTGTTCTTAAATATTGCAAATTATCTTTGCATGGACTTGAACCAAAATTTTCGGTATTTTTACCGAAAAGAGAATATTTACCGATAACATCGTTCTCCACGATTTTTCAAAATAATTTAAATATTTCAGTACTTGCCGAAAAAGAGCTGAAACCAAAAATAAAGCTAAAAGTTAATTTTATGGAGTATTCATAGTTTTACGCCCCATATCAATCATACATATGAATACAAACTCAGGCAGTCGGGCACATGAGATACGTAGATTTGGGTTGCCTATGATTACGAACGTACATTCTCATCGCTTACTCCGCTTTCCCTGAATTGATTTTTGTGCACACAAAAGGTACAGACCGGTAGATTACCGTCATTGCCTCATCACCGGACAAGGAATAAAGAAACCGAAACCTGTCTGTTTTCAAAATAAATATTTAATTAAAATGAGGGGTGAGTTCACGGATGAAACAGAGAAATATTCGCAACCCCATAAGCAAGAATCGAAAAAGGAGTTTCCAGAATGGTTTGCAAAGTACTTTGAAAGATCGACCAGTATGCACATTGTAGAAGTTGTAATATAGGACTAAGCCCTCCAAAAAAATTTTGTGTGAGCACCCAATACAATATCAGACATTTTTCATGACTCAAAAGTTCTTGATCTACCACTGATCTTGGGACGGCATTTGCCTTATACCGAACTCAACGACACTATTTACCGATTCCGTTTTTCTCCGGTTTGGCAACACTGCAGATCACCAATTGATATACCGGACGTGTTATGATAATAGAAATAATAAAAAAATATCACAATGTTTAGAGATATATTTTCATAAAGATGTATCTTTGATTGTGACTTATCTCTAGACGATGAATGCGGTTACTTTTACAAATTTCGATGTTTTAGGACCCAGAAATGCAGAATGTGCTGTTTGTTTACATTTGGTGTGGATTTCTAGATCATAAATTGGCAAAAATTGTTTTTGATGTAACAAAAGATGATGAGCCAATTGGAATACGTTTTATATCCTTTTTTTTGTAAAACAACAGAAATCGGTACATTTCTACAGGTACATATTATGTACAACACCCTGTACCTGATAACAGACAAAACTAGATTGCCATCCATGAACAGTCGTCAAAAACAGTGAAAACATCCTACCAAATATAATAGATAGAAAATCGACCTATTATTTGCCGCATTCACATTGGTTCCACTTGAATAACTGATCGTCTTTTCTGAAATGATAAAAAATTAAAATTCTATGAAAGTTATCCTCATTCTACAGCACAAAGACATAATATTACATCTATAATGTACCCTTATTTATAAGGCAATCGTTTTTTCACGACGTTATTCAACATTTCAATAGAAATCACTGATATTCAGCGAGCTTTCACAGCTTCTGTCAAATTGCATTTCGATAAGGTATTTTCCTGTTAGTCCAACTGACCGTCAAATATTAATGTTGGTGAAATTGGCCCTTTGGCAGTTCAAAAATCGGATTTAAAAAGTTCCTTCAAGCTCCTGATGGCGCCGCTGCTTGGGTATAAAAAAAAGAAAAGATATAATGACTAAGTATCCTTGTATATATATAGGAGTGTTTCAGAGAAAATTCTAAACACTTTAATTCTGGAAGTGATATTATTAATACCTCCGGCTATACCCACGCACTGGTTTTAGTATTGTCACCCCATGTCACAAGCTTGCTTGAGTGGCAAGTGGTTCGACTATCAAGCCTCATCAAGTCATTTTTGATTGTCACAGCGGTCCGTGGGATCTTCGATCTTAGATCATAGTGTCAGTCTGTAAGTCTGTCAGGGCTGGTAACCCAGGAACCAGACAATTTTAAGGGAAAGGTTGGAAGGAAAGGAGAGAAAGAAGGGAGGGAGCAAAGAGGAAGAAGAGTAACTTTTAGGACAGAGAGCGATCAGGCATTGTCAAAAGCACTTGACAAGTTATGATGTGATCCAAAAATATTTGATTTTTGTAAGTTTTGGTTGTTCTAAATTAACGAATTAATTTTGATTACAGTGCGAACCGCTGCATTATATTGTTTAACCACTTACCGATATCCATAAAAGGCATTATAAGCATCTCAGCATTAAGACGCAATGTACGTGAGTTACCAATACTACTACTCCTAAACTTTTGCTAACTTCGCAAGAATTTCTTTAACTTTCCAACCATCAAACACGAAGAATTTAATAAAAGCATGATATTCAATCTTATCCGTCTTAACAAAAAACACGCCAGATACTTCTTTACTTTTTTTTGACAACTACATGAAAGAACAAG